GAGGTGATGATGTCATCAGTTCTCCCAAACAGGACTTTAAGTTACTTCCTTAATTGCATAAATGGAACAACTGCGAGGCAGTTCCTGGAAGCCAGTCGACCGTATTACATTGCTAAATATGAGCTAATGCTAATAGAAGCAGACATGAGTGCAGTGTGTATACAGAATATGACGTCTGGTTTCCTCCTGGCTTTGTTCAGAGAACAGAGGTTTTATTTATAAATAAGGACAAGATGGAGAACTGATGTGTTTGAGTTTTGTTGTTTCTTAGAAACTAAAATTGAATGATTAATTAATCATTATCAGTTTTCACACACGGAAATGTCTGTCTGACAGAGTGTTTTTTGATTTATTTCTAATTTTCGTTTTCTCTCTGTGTTGTGAGTTTCTTTTTTCACAGGGACAATGCTGTTTCTCATGGGGGGTGATGCTCCACTTCCACCTGGACCGGCTAGGAGCTGCGCGCCACCTGGCATTCCTGGGGGTTCTTTCGGGGGAGGACCATTCGTTCCAGCATCATCACATTCCACCTTGAGCAGGCGTGATTCTTGCTGTTCTGTTGTGGTTTCTGATCACACATACCCTGCCTTATTTGACATAATGAGAACAGAACAGTTTTACACAGTGTGTGACTGTTTCCTGTCACACTGTTTTACATTCTTTCCGCCTCCATGAAACTTCGATTTGTCCCATCTGCTATACTGAACTAATTTGTGCATTTCTTACTGGCTTATTATTGTGAATTTTTGCATACCCCACCAGTTTAATTGCAATGCATTTGTCCTCACGAAGCCTAGGTTGATATTTGGCTCCCCCTCATGGGAATAAAATATGAGAGTACATGACTTTTAAACATTTAGCCTTCTCTAGATGTTTTGGGGTTAATTTTTATTTTATTTTATGCTTTGTTCTGTTATTTTCTTCTATGTTTTTCTAGAGTTTTTTGTCCTCTGTGCAGCTCTCTGGTAAAGTTTAGAATGACTGTCTGCTGAGTCCCTCTGGGATTCTTCCATCGACAGCCATTTTTTGCTTATTTGTTTCTGTCTGCGGTTGTGGTAATCCCAGGGAGGGGGTATTCCATTACCTCGAGCCTGGAACGCCACGAAGACRTRTTTGAGGGAGTATTAGCCCRTCTGGGTTTTACCTGTGAGGTCTGGGGAGCTGAAGAAGTGCTGTCCAAACGGCGTCTATGTCTTTCACAGAGGACTAGTTCTAGGCTTATTTAGAATTTAGCTTAGGTGTAACAAGAGGAAGGTGGAGCTTCTACTTTAGTTTAATTTATTTAGAGTTTTGGGTTTAGCTTTTGTTTGTTATTTTTTGTTACACATTTGTTTTTTGTTTTCCTTGCACATGCCAGCTTATGCCAGTAGTCCATTGCACTATTTTTCCCATATTTCTCCATTATGTTTGTTGGGCGATGCATTTGTGGAACAGACATTTAATAATTATTCCTTTTCCATTTCTGGTATTGAGTATTGTTTACTCAAGAGGAGTGATTGTCATGGACTAATTATTTCTGTATCACCTTGACACTGACCACTGTTCATATCTCGTGATATCTTCCGGACGTCAGCATCACATTGACCTATTTTCAAGTATCAGGATGAGGCAGGTTGTGGTTGGTTGTTCATTATCACATGATGTTAGCTGACAGTATATCATTGCTTGGCAGCCTATGACAGGCGGGCCCACATCCAACAGACTTCCTGATTGTTTTCTGTTCCATGTCTGCCCATTAATAAATGACTTTACGAACATACCCGCAAGAC